CGCAGCACGCGAGCGGTTGTGCTGGGGCCGCCTATAATAAATCAGCAGCCAGAAGGAACAGATGCTGTGGGGTTGACTGCAAAATCCCCGATGACTGTGATGTTTGAGCGTAGAAGGTGGAGTAACAGAAGGCTTGAATTTCTATATGGTCCATGGAGAAGCAAATGAGAAGAAGGAGGAGGGAATACTGTCTTCAATTTGTGGCGATTCCATTTTCTCCAGACGCCGCACTGCGGTCCGGCTTTGTTTTATTGTTTGAATGTACGGGCACCAACGAGAAGGTTTAGCAATGTTCTCTTTTTCTTTTTTCTTTTTCTTTTTCTCTGAGAATTGTCGGTGGGCTTTCTCTCCTTTGAGCTGGTGGGTGAGTGGGTGGCAATGAGGGGCCAGGGGAACTGCCCCGCTGAGCGATTGTTTCTCGCTGCCAATGTTGCACTTTCCTCCCTTTATTCCCCGTCCTTCCCCTTGCATGTACTAACTCTTCTGGACGGCGTTCTTCTCCTCTTAGAGCTTGGGGGTGGGGGGAGAGGTGCGGGTATTGGCTTTTTTTTTGCTTTGCTGCTGTTCTTTCTTGGCTTTCCGGGCGAAGGAGGGGGATACGCGTCAAAGACTGCGTGCATTGCGGCCTGCTGCTCTGCTTGTAGGCGCCGATGATTCGGCGAACCTCCCGGAGGGCGGTTGGCTACACCCCGGTTAACCCAGACACCTCCCCGATGCTTGCCTACAGCCAGTACCACTGGCACTACAACCTCCCACAGGGAATGGAGCGGCCGCATGGCGTCAATCGCACAATGACAGCACCCTACGAAAGTGCCCACTCGCTTGTTAACAAGTATCGCGGCGTATGGGTCGAACTTGACATGCACCCCGCCTTTCGCGTGGCACTGGAGCCGCAGTTGCGTAAACTGCCTCACGGAAGAACAATACCCAAAACCTCCGCAGAGGAGGTTATCGCGGATTATAGTAATACGGCGCACCTCATCGCGGATGAGGTGACGAGGGATCTTTGGTTGGCGAAGGTGCTCCAACACTGTGCGTTCCTGCGAAGCAACGCGGGCATGGCGCTCTGGGAGGAGCACTGCCATTCACGCTTTATTGCCGATGACGCCAGCGCGACGCCGCCGCTCCCCTTAGTCAAGGCCATTCTGTTCTACTGCAGTAAAATTGATCACGTTGCGTGGGGCCCTATTTTCCACAGGTGCCTAAAGGATGGTTGGAACTACACGCCCTTGTTTGACACGGCCCAGTGGAATTTTTTGCTCAAGAGCGTCGGGCGCATGGGCGACGAGAGGGGCGTCAAACTCCTTCTAGAGGAGATGCTGGACGTGCAGGCCGACTTGGATCGTGTGGAGGCGCGCTCCATCGTGGTTGCGCTGAACGCCGTCACCGACAACAACATCTACGAGTACGTAAAAAAGTATCTGTTCAACTTTGGCGAGAGGAAGGTGAAGTTCCTGCGTGTTACCTACTCCGACCTGCGCGGCCACGGGGCGGGGAAGCTGCGGATTCCGCTCAGCGAAAACGACAAGATGTACTACCACGTCTGCTGGCACAGCAGCATCCGCGCCCCGCGACAGTTTTCACCGCGCCAGCTGTACTTCGACTACACACCGTCAACCCTCGGCGCGAGCGTGCACAACCCAAATGCGAAGATCGACGACATTGTGAAGGACAAGATTGAGAAGTGGAAGATGGAGGGACTTCTCCCAGAGGACTACGTCCACGAGGATCGCGTGTATGACCGCGGAGCCGCCTTCAAGAACGTTGCCCGCCAGGAGAAGTGGAAGAAGATGCCAAAGATTGTGAAGAGCAAGAAGATGGGTTACACAGGCGATCCGTGAGCGGGGCCCCGGATGCCTACGGAGATTGCTTCGGCAAGCTTCTCTGCAGTTTGCCGCGCCTCCTGGCACAGCCGAGCGGCCCTTTGCGGCACAAAAAGTCGAGAGGGGCCTGTCTTTTTCTCCCGGGGAACGCGCCGACGTCGTTGGCGCTCGCCATTTCGCAAGCATGCACACCAACACGCGTGGTGCTTGGGCGAGGATGTGGTAGGACAGGTTTTATTTTATCTTGCCCTTCTTTTTCTCCTCGGGCTGACGGGCCTCTGCTCGTTTCTGCCCAAGCAAAGCCGCCCCCCCCCGGGGGGGGGGGGGGGGGGGCGTTGCTGCGGGGGCGTGACTGTGGTGCTTGTGGCTCTGGCGCTGAAGGGGGCGGAGGCGACGGAGAGAAAGGGAGAGGGAGAGAGGAGGACGAGGAGGAGGTAAGAAACGAAAGGAGGAAATGGGGCGACTTTGATGGATTGCATCATACGCTCCCTTCTTTGTTTTTTCATGGTTATTGTTGTTGGTTTTGCGCGTGCTTTTGCGCGCCCCGCTATGCTCACGACTAATCACTCTCTCCCTCTCGCTCGCTCGCTCGCTCGCTTTTTCCCCTGCTGTTTCATTGCGCTGCGGAAGGGAGAGAAAAAGGGAGGCGGCGGGACCGGGTTGCCGAGGCCAGGCGTGCGGCTGCAATGTTGCACGGGTGCTCGCTCCTCCGCTCAAACGCCCTCCACAACCCCGGCCCGTTTTTGGACGGGGCGCTTCAGCTCATAAAACTGCACTTGGCGCACAAGAACGCGACGGCTGACGGCAACGCAACGGCGTGCCGTGCCATCGAGAGCGAGTTCCTGCGGGAGGTTGAGGTGTTTCGCCCGTGCTTCACGATGTCGTCCTCGCTGACGGTGGCAAAGCTTTACACGAAGAAGCTGCACGGCGCCTTGTCGTACTTCCGCCTCCACGATGACCCGCTCATGCGGCAGTTGGACCTCATCCTGGGAAAGCAGAGTATGCGCCACTCCGCAAGTGGCCACAGCGGCCTTTTTAAGGCCTCCGTTGCGGCGCAGTCGGGCGCCGTTTCCCCGCTGGAGGAGCGGGAGGAGACGGTGCTGCCAGCGGAGCTGCCCCACCCGCCCAAGCCGGACCCCGCAGCCACGCCGCGGGAGGGCGCACTTAAGCTGCCGCTGCGCCACCGCGGACACTGGGTGCTGCGGGACCCGGAGATCGCCATCACTCGGGCGGAGCGGCGGAGTGACCCCTGGTAGCCGAAGCAACGCAAAAACCAGCGAAGGAGCGAAGGGAACTCTACACGCCCGCATGTGTGTGTGTTCTGTTTTATTATTATTATTTTCTGGTTGTTGTTCTTGGCGGGATCATTCCGAACGGGAGGGGGGGGGGGAAACAAATCGCCAGCAAAACACAAATTAAGTGGTGGCGGTGGGTGGGGGGAAAGGAAGAAGGGCACACTGCGCCCCACGTGGTTGGGTTTCTCATCCCCTTCCTCCCTTCTGCGGCTATATATATATATGTGTGTATGCAGATTGGCCCTTTTACCATATCTTACCTCTTTAAAAACAAGTATCTCTTGTTTTAAAGTGTTGTGTGTCGCATTTAATTGCTTGCCTGCGATTGGGATCTCTCGGCAGTAGTAGGAGGGCAATGCAGCCGCATTCCGCGACTGATGCGTACATACCCATCCTGATGACATCAGGGACACCCTGCGTTCTCACCTCTACGTCCTTCCCCGAGCCGCTTCGAGACACGTCCAGCGAGTTGGGGTGCGAGTCCAGTGTACGATGGGTGCACGGAAAGGCCCAATTATTGGGGGACGTGCGGGTGTCTGGTTTCTTGCTAGCTGAGGCGATGGTGGTCGTTCGGGGAGACATTGCCTCAGTATCCCTTGCCGATGCTGTCATCCTCCGTGCAGGGTGTGTCGTGCGCCCCCCGCTGCGGCCCTTGTTGAACCTAACCGTGGCTGAGTCTTCCCCCGTGACGATAGGCTCCGCAACGATGCTTGGGAAACGAACCGTGTGTGAGGCAACGTCGGTGGGGAGTTACGTGCACGTGGAGGACGATTGCGTGATTGGGGAGTGGGCCGAGGTCCCTGACGGCGTGTGGCTGCGTTCGGGGTGTGTGGTGCCCGCCGGGCTGCGGCTTGCCCCTTACGCCGTCTACGAGGGACGGCCGGCGCGTCCGGTGGCCAGCCTGGATGCGGAGTTGCACCAGCTGTTTATGAGGGACCGGGTTTACGAGGTGTTCTCCGTCACATCGGACCCCTCCCCGTAGCGTGAGGGGAGGCGCCGCGTTCTTCCTTGCCGCCGCAGCCCGTCTGGGCGGACCTCTGGCGTCTCTGCACCCCCTCCTCTTTTTTGTTTCTTTGTGTCCTCTCATGTGTCTCTTTCCCTTCCCAACTTCCTTTTTGTTTTTGTTTTTGTTTTGTTTTCTCCCCTCTACCCTCCTACGCAGCTCAAGCGAAGACAAAGAGGGAGCTTTGGGAGTTCGTTTCTCCTCCTCCTTTTTTTGTTTTCGTTTTTTTCTTTTTTCTTTTCGTTATACTTCCGTGTTTTGGCGAAGACGCGTGGACTTCGGTTCCTGCGGGGTGCGATGTCGAAGGGCGCGGACAGCGGCGCCGTCCTCGCGGAGATCGCGCAGCTCAGGCGGCTCCTTGCGGAGAAGGAGGCGCTGGTCGCCGCCACCGCCGACGCGGGCGCCGTCGCCAAGCGGGCCAAGAAGAAGAGTCAGCAGGCGATGGTGGAGACGGAGCCTGTGCAGGGTTGCCGCGACTTCCCCCCCGAGGCGATGCGGAGGCGCAACCACCTGTTTGACGTCTTCCACGCCACCGCGAGGAGGTTCGGCTTTGAGGAGTACGACGCACCGGTGCTGGAGTCCGAGGAGCTGTACATCCGCAAGGCCGGCGAGGAGATCACCGAGCAAATGTTCAACTTCGTTACGAAAGGCGGGCACCGGGTGACGCTGCGGCCCGAGATGACGCCGTCGCTGGCTCGTCTGCTGCTCGCGAAGGGGCGCTCGCTGCTGCTGCCGGCGAAGTGGTACTCCATCCCACAGTGTTGGCGCTACGAGGCCATCACGCGTGGCCGCCGTCGCGAGCACTACCAGTGGAACATGGACATCGTTGGGGTGAAGTCGGTGGCGGCGGAGGTGGAGTTGGTGTCCGCGGCGTGTTCCGCGATGCAGAGCTTCGGCCTCTCCTCCAAGGAGGTTGGCATCAAGGTGAACTCCCGCAGGGTGCTGCAGACCGTGTTGGAGCAGGCTGGCGTGGCAGCGGACAAGTTCGCCCCGGTGTGCGTTATCGTGGACAAGATGGAGAAAATTCCCCGGGAGGAGGCGGAGGCGCAGCTGGTTGAGCTTGGGCTTCAGCCCACCGTGGTGGACGCCATCACCACGACGCTGAGCCTCAAGTCCGTGGACGAGATTGCGCAGCGCATTGGCGTGGAACACGAGGCTGTGAGGGAGCTGAGGGAGTTTTTTGAGCAAATGGAGGCCTACGGCTACGGGGACTGGGTGCGCTTTGACGCGAGCGTGGTGCGTGGGCTGGCCTACTACACAGGCATCGTCTTTGAGGGCTTTGACCAGGAGGGGAAGTTCCGCGCCCTCTGCGGCGGCGGCCGGTACGACGGCCTGCTGACAACCTACGGCAGCCCCACCCCGGTCCCGTGCGCCGGCTTTGGCTTCGGCGACTGCGTGATTGCGGAGCTGCTGCAGGAAAAGCAGTTGCTGCCGGAGGCTCCACACGTCGTGGACGATGTTGTTATCCCGTTTGACGAGTCCATGCGGCCGCACGCGCTTGCGGTGCTGCGCCGGCTGCGCGACGCCGGCCGCAGCGCCGACATCATCCTCGACAAGAAGAAGTTGGTGCAGGCCTTCAACTACGCCGACCGCGTCGGGGCGGTGCGGGCGGTGCTCGTGGCGCCCGAAGAGTGGGCACGCGGGGAGGTGCAGGTGAAGATGCTGCGCGAGGGGGCGGGGAAGGGGGAGGGCACCACGGAGCGCGGCGCCCCCGTCCCCCTGCACAGCCTCGTCTGAGAGCGGCGGGCGCCAAAAGAAGGAATGAGAGAAGGAGGAAGAGAAGAGAAGTAAACGTAAGCCAAAAGGTGGCGGAGAGAGGCCAGGGAGTGAGAGAAGAGAAATAAAAAAAAAGAAAACAAAAGGAAAACAAAAACAAATAAAGACTAAACAAATCATGATGAGGGTAACTGAAGACACAGTGGATGTGCACAGGGGACAAAAGCGACGCAAACGTCAACAGGGGGGAAGAGGATGCGGTTGTAGGAAGAAGAGGGTGCGCTTTGCGGGCTGCCCCCGGCAGCAGCTGGGGGGGCGGGGCGAGGGCGCGGCGTAGGCCCGTCTGCCGGCGGGCAAGCGTCTCTGTGCCTGTGTGTGTATGTGGGTGTGGGGCCATTTCTCGCGGCGGTCTTTGCCCTTTATCTGTCGTTCGTCGATTCCTCTTTCCCTTGTCGTTTTTTTAAACTCATATTTTGCTTCGCCGCGGTGTTGCGCGTGTTAGTCTGGCAGGCAGACGCGGATAGCACACGTGTCGAGCGTAGGCCAACAGGCCGAAGCAACCAAACAAGGAAAAGGAGCACCAGCCACAGCCGGAGGGAGAGGCAGGATGCAGGGAGGCATGAACGAACACCAGCTGGACACCGGGTTGCTCTGCATCACGAACGTTTCACTCATTAGTGGGCCGCAGCGTGCGGAGGAGGACCTTCACGAGTCTGCCACGCAGGCCGTGCGGCTGCTGCTGGGAGAGTGCCAGGAGCTGCCAACGAGGACGAAGCGTGGGAAGTTTGATGCCAGCACAACGCTTGTGAAGCTGCCGCAGCCCGTCATGCAGCTGCCGCGCGAGAAGGCCCCACCGAAGCCAAAGCCTCTCACCGCGTGGGAGAAGTTCGCCCTGAAGAAGGGCATCGCTCTCAAGCGAAAGAAGGGCAACCGCGTCTTTGACGAGGAGCAGCAGGTGTGGAAGGACAAGTGGGGCAAGCGCGCCCGCGAGGACCGCGAGAGGCAAGACTGGCTGCGGGAGGTCGGCCCGAACTACGTGGCGCAGGAGGAGGGCGGCGACCCGTTCCTGGACGACCGTAGGGCGAAGAAGGCCCGGTTGGAGCAGCAGAAGAAGAAGGAGGAGCACAACAAGCGCCGCTCGGAGCACATCGCCCACGCACAGGAGGAGGTAAAGCATCTCAGCGCCGTGACAAGACACCTCGCAACGGCGTCCAACGGTAAGTTTGACAAAATTTCATCAAAGAAGAAGGGAAAGAAGTGAAACAATCGCCGCTGCTCTTTTGTTTTTGGTTTTGCCCCGATTAAAATTTTTCTGCGCCTGTTGTGTTGTGTGTCTCTCTATCTTTCTCTTTTTCACAGGCACACACACACACACACACACACATACTCCTCCTCCTCCTCCTACTGTCTGCGTGTGTAATGAATTATAATGGCGGCAACTGCGGTGGCGGTGGTGTGCGTGGAACTTCCTGTTGCCCCTGTTGCTGCCGCGCCTAGCGTGCAACGCCATGTTGTGTGGACTCCCTCCGCCTGCCTTTCTCTTCGCTCTTCTTTTACTCCCCCACCGCGACGCACGCGAGCGCGCTGCTTTCCCGCGGCCGCGTGCCCCTGGACCAGCGGTGGTGCGGCGTCGCCGCTCACATCCCTTCTTTTCCCCAGTCCCACACGCACCGCACGAAGCTGCCGTGGCCAGCTCCAGCTCCCGAAGCCCACGACACAGCCAGCGAAAGAAAAAAAAAGGAAGAGGGAGGCAAAGGCGCTAGCATGGGTTCCCTGCCCTCGAAACAGGCCGCTCAAAGGTTTGCTCCCGCAGATAAAGAGGGAACCTCCCCAAAAAAAGGGTTGGGACCAAAAAAGGAGGCCCCGGCCGCCCGAACCCTCGCAACGGCGAAGACAGATGCGAAAGCTCCTTCAAAAGGCCTCAGCGAGGCAGAGGTGCAGGCGATGATCACGCAGGAGGGCCGTGACATTATGGTGATCCACGGCAAAGTATACGACGTCACAAACTTCACGGCGTTCCACCCGGGCGGCGCGGCGGCCATCAAGACCAACCTTGGCAAGGAGATGGGCACGACATTTTCGAGCATCCATGGCCCCGGGGCGCACGAGACACTAGACGAGTTCCTGCTGGGGCCTTTGTGGGTGGCGCCCTCTGTGCTTACGGAGGCGGAGGTGCAGCGGAGGATCATCGAAGAGAAGCGGGTGTTGCTGCGCATCCACGACGTCGTTTACGACGTCACAGACTTCGTGGCGTCGCACCCGGGCGGTGAGGCGGCCATCATGTCCAGAGTCGGCGAGGAGGTGGGTGACCTCTTCGCACGCATCCACAGCAAGTCCACAAGGGAATCGGCCAAGCGGTTTATTGTGGGACGCCTGTCGTCGGCAAAGTTGGAGACCGCAGTTGCCTCCCCCAACGCTGAGGCCGACGCGGCGTCGGCGACGGTGAAGGAGACGATGGTGCTCGAGAGTGTGGAGGTTGCAGTCGACATCAAGAACATCACCTTTGCTTGCCCAGAGAAATTGCAGCTGCTGCCTGGTGGGCACATCTCGGTGTTGGTTCCGGATGCGTTTGGCAAGGGCTTCTTCAAGGCGAGGCACTACACCCCATTCATATGCGAGGAGACGTCCTTCACCCTTACTGTGAAGAAGTACCCGCATGGGGTGGCCTCTGTTTACCTTCACTCACTCAAACCTGGCAACAAGATGAGGTACGAAGGCCCGCTGCGACCGAACTGGGTCGCCGAGGAGGACGCGGCCCTGATGAGGGAGCCGGAGAGCAAGCGACACGTGCTGTTTATTGCGGGTGGCGTTGGCGTGACCCCGATCTACACCATGGTGCGGCACCTGCTGCGCGACCAGGTCGCCTCGGTGACGCTGGTGGTGAGTTACCAGGTGCCGGAGGTGATGCTGCTGCGCAAGGAGATTGCGGCCTTCCTCGAGGCCTACGGAGCGGACACCGCGCCGGGCGAGGAGGCAAAAACGCCTCCCCGCAAAACCTTTGAGCTGCATTATGTCTTCACCCGGACGAAGGAGATGCCGAGTTTGCCGGAGACCGCCAACGTGCACTTGGGCCGGCTGGGCGCCGAGGTGATGCGGAAGTTGTCGCCCACCGTGTCGTGCGTCCTCTGCGGCCCCCCCAGCTTCGCCGACGACGTCATGAAGGGGCTGGTAGACAACAAGGTCTGCAGCCTCCAGCAGGTGCACGTGCTGTGACCAGCGGGGCGGTGTCCTCGCCATGCAAAACCCCACCGCACCTCCCCTCCCACCACCACTTACTCTCGCTCGCTCTCTCTCTATATATCGCTCTCTATATATATCTATATATACATCTCTCTGTATCCGTTTTCCACAACCCCAACTTTTTCTGCAAACGGTAAGAATAAAACAACAACGCCAATGACGACGACGACGACGACGACGACGACTGGTGAACCACGCATCGATGTAGCAACGGTTGCCGTGGTCAGGTTAGGATTAAACTTTTTCAAATTACGTGGACGGGGGGCTTTTCTGTCGCAGCTGTAGCAGGGGGCGGTAATCGACACACGCGCGAGGACAGGAGATGGCTGCGCGTTCATGTCATTTCTGCGCATGTGCCATTTTTTGTAGTTTTTTTTTTTGCGTGCATGTGTCCATGTATCTTCCTTCGTTTCCGTTCCGCCCTAGGGATGGGGTCGCCGGCTGCTGGTGGAATTTTCCCGCGGATGATTTTCTTTTTCTTTTCCTTTTTTTTGTTTCTCCTCGTTGTCCCCGTCTGAGTGGCGAGCAATGGGCAAATTCCTTCTTCCCGTGGCACGCCCGCTGCGGCGGTAGGCGGGAGGCGGCCTCTTGCCAAAGACAAGGGGGGTCAAAACAAGGAATGAACCTTTGCTGGAGGGGCGAAGAGGCGTGAGGGGAGCGCGAGCGAGAGAGAAGTCGTTTCATACGTTTTGGTGCGGCGTGCGGGTATGGGGGACTGCGGTTTTCAGAGCGTTTTGCGCTCGCATGCGCCCCACGATTATTTATGCCTGCGCGGTTCCTCCCCGTCTTCTTCTGGTGGTTGCCTTCTGAAGTGGGTTAGCGCTGGGGCGTCGGGGTGATTATTGTTTTTTTTTGTTTTGTTTTTTTTCCTCTTCTGTTGCCAAGCAATAGTTCCGCAGAAGCACGCGTGTGTGTGTGTGTGAAGCAGGCGCCAAGGAGGAGTATCGGGCTTAGAGTAGGGAAGGGGCCGGCGCTTGCTACCACGGCTTCCTGACTCCGGGCGGCGCGCACGCACAGGCAGGTGTCGGCGGCTGCAGGAAGCGGAGTAATACACACGGAGGCAAAGCGCAGCCGCATTCAGTGAAAGGATTTTTATTCTTTGCTTTTTTCTTCTCTTTTTTCCATTAGGAGGCAACAGGGGAGTGGGGTGCGTCGGCGGCGAAGAGGAAAAGGAAAAAAAGAAACGGAGGGCGCGTCACGAGCAGAAAGCAACCTGAGACTTGTTGAGGCGCCTTCTTCCACCGCAAATAGGCCGTTTTTTCTTTCCTTCCTTCTTCCTTCCTTGGGCTCTTTCTCTCTCTCTCTCTCCCCCCACTTACCTCGCACGCCTCATCAACGCCCAGACGCTTAAATCAATAGGTACACGCGTATACATCGCGCTCCCCTTTGCTGCTGCCGCATTTTCTTGGCGGACTCGTCCGATTGCCCCGCGGCTCATCCCTGTCCATCGTTGCGCCATTTCTCGCGCCCGCCCGTGTGTGGACGAGGCGACAAAGGCGCCGACAGAGCCATCACGTCAAACGGGAGGGCGAGAGACGGGGGTGGGTGGGCGGGTGGGAAGCCAGAGGACGGGGGGCGGGTGACGCGCTTTATACCGCGCGTTTATGCGCCGCCAGGGCAAGGAGCCGACGCAGCGGAGTATACTGCTCCCTGTTGGTTCCTTTACGGTGGATGCCGAACGTGCGGAGGAGGCTCGGTGCATGGGCGGGCTCTCGCCGAAGTCTGGGGGCATCGTTACGCCTCGCCGCATAGTGCGCAGCTTGAACGCCTCCCCGGCCGTGACCCGCCTCGTCCCGCTAGACGGCGTCTCTGAGCGGCCCCTGTCGGTGGAGACGAGCAGCGGCACGCTACTCAGCGAGGAGGTTCTGGAGGACGTCATCAGTGAGCCAGTGAGCGCGACGTGCGCGCCGCGTGAAAAGTTTCCCGCGTTGGGGGCACACGGGAGCCCGGTCGTCAAGGCGCCGCCGTCGCTGGACCCTGGCACCTCGGCGAGTCTGAGTCACAGCCGAACGCGAGGGACGAACGGGGATTCCTCGTATTCGTCCTCTTCCCTCCTTGCCGGTTCCTCCACCCACATGCTTTCCCACGACTACACCGACGTGTTTGACCCGGAAAGCGTGCATAGCTGCAGCCTGACGGGCGTTGGCGACAAGTTCGGCGCAATGAGTGTGAGCCACCGGACCTCCACCCCCGCCGCCGCGGCAGTTGCGGTCGCCGCCAACGCTTTCACCACGGGCGCCGCCGCCGTCAAAGAGAGCAACAAGGAGACAGAAAGCAGCATTGTGCCGGTCCTTGCGGGCCGTGAGGGCTCCAACGCAGTGGAGGTTGGACGCCGACGAAAGATTATAAACGTGCGGCGCGAGGAACGCATTGGGCGTGGCGGGTTTGGCGACATCTTTCGCGCCGTTGACCTTGACACGGGTCTGCCCCTTGTGGTGAAGGAGGTTCTGGTGATGGCGGACGTTGGCAAAGACGTGGAGCAGCAGCTCCGCGCGTTAGAGCGCGAGATACGCGTAATGCGTAAGCTGAACCACAAACATATCGTATGCTACTACTCCGCCCGACGCGAGGAGTCGAACTGCGCACTACAGATTTATATGGAGTACGTTGGCGGGGGCACCATTGCGCAGAAGCTTCGGGCCAATGGCCCCTTTTCCGAGGACGAGACGCGGAATTACACCCGGCAACTGCTGGAGGGACTTGAATACCTCCACCAGCGACGCATTGTGCACCGCGACCTGAAGGGCGACAACTTGTTTCTCACGGAGGATGGGGTGCTGAAGGTGGGAGACTTTGGCACTAGTAAAGAGCTGCAAACGACGCTCGTGACAGACAGTGTCGCAGGCACCCCGAATTTCATGGCCCCGGAGGTTATTGCCTGCAGTGGTCACAGCTGCATGGCCGACATCTGGTCGGTGGGTTGCTGCGTGCTGGAGATGCTGACGGGACACCCACCCTTCTGGAACCTAGACAACCACATGGCGGTGATGTTTGCCATAATGAAGGGGCGATTGGAGGAGCAGGTGCCGCCGCACATCTCCGCAAACGCCAAGGAATTCATTAGCCTGTGCCTACGCAGTGACCCGAAGGAGCGGCCCTCCGCGGCGCAGCTGCAGCAACACCTTTGGCTGCGGTGCAAAGAAAAGGATGGGACCGCAGAAAGCCACGCACAGTCGTACCTTTCCCTGTCAAGCGCGGAACTGGCGAAGGAGCATGGGAAGCAAATGGAGGCGGGGGAGGCCGCCATGCACGAAGCGCCGCCGCCACCGCTTAGTAAGGAGGTGTTTCCGAACAGCACGGCGCCGGTCGTGGCGGTCATCGCTGAGCGAGGCAGCGGTCGCGGTGGGGACCCCGCCGACGGCCCCCAAAATGGGGACCGGAAGGCAAAGAAAGGGAGGCAGTTGCTAGGCCCGTCCGCGCCCTCGGCGCATCCGTCTTCTTCGACCACTGCACACTCCAGCGGGCGGGCGCTCTACCCACGGCCTCCCATCACCACCGCGTTGAAGAAGGCTCCGTTGAGCCCTCACGTAAATCCCACCACAAGCGACTCACCCGCTCACAGGAATGGCGTGAAGCGGGCCAAAAGCCGCCCCAGCCTTGGCCGTGGTGCGGCTGGCAGCAATGGTGGTGTGGACCCCCACCGCAACGGGCAGAGAAGGAACAGCACGGCTTCAGGGGCGTCTGCCGGTGAAAAATCGACCAGAGTTAAGCGGCACGTCAAGGCAGGGGTGGAGGCCACAACGTGTTCCACTCGCTGACAACATGTCGCGCATGAATGCGTGAGTGACGGCCACAACGCCATTGCGGGCACACCGGCAATAGCGGCAGCCAAACCGCATTTCCTGCGGTGAGGCGTGGGGGGTGGGTGGGTGGGTGGAATGGGGCAAGGAAGCGTCCGTTTTTATCTCCAGCGCGGCTTTGAGGGCACACTGTTGCTGGCGCCAAAGGAAGGCGCCAGCGTGAGGCCTTCATGGGATGACGGCAAATAAATATGCTGCAAAGGGCATATGTCTGGGCCTGCATTAAGATAAGAGGAAGGGTACGATATATATATATATATATGAGGGGAAAAGTGGGAAGTATACTCCTCGTTGCTTTCTTTCTGCATGCGTGTTCGCAATGCGTTCGTCCGAGCCCTGGACACTTTTGCGAGACGAGGGAGGGGCATTGTTGCCAAGGACAATTCTTTAGGCATCGACGTCGTCCGTAGTTAACTTTTTTCCTCC